GGGCCGGGGGGGGGGGGGGTTTCCCCTTCCGGCACGAGCAGAGCGCGGCAGCTGGAAGCGCAGAGCTGGTCCTGCCCCAAGAGGAGGCCAGGCTCAGCCCGGCCCGGACAAAACAGGGGCCCGAGCACAGATGCGCGCAGCGGGGCGGCAAAACCGCATAGCGCGGCTCCCTCTGTCCCGGGCACTCTTCCCCCCCCCCAACCCCCGGCGCGCCCCTCACCGGCCCGTTGCTAGGGAAGCTACGGGCGGCCTACAGGCCAAACTCCCCTGCAAGCCGCTGCCCCCGCGCATGCGTAGAAGAGCGGCCCTGGCACGTGTAGGCTTAGAAGACCGCGCCTATGGCGCCTACGCCGCGTTTGCCCGGGGGGCGCCCCACTGGGCTCCGTGGCGGGGGGGGGAAGCTGGGCAGGGAGCGGGAGAGGGAGGGGCACCTCCAGCCTTCCCCAGAGCCCCGCCCTGTCCCGCCCCGCCTCTAGGGGGCGGCAGCCCTGTTCCTCCAGGTGCGCGGAGGCGGGCAGAGGCGCCAGCAGCTCGCCCTGGAGATGCCCTGCCTCGGGCAGCCTGTGCAGGGGCAGTACCCTGAGCGCCAAGGTGGTTTTCCTACCAGCTGGGGGAAGCGGGAGGCAGGGGGTAGTACCTTGACTGAGGTAAGGCACAGTTAGCCTCCCAATTTCACTTCCAGTGGGAGGATCTCGCTTAGGGTGGCCATCATAAAGGACATTCCCATTTTCTGCTACTCTGTTGATACCAAGCCCCACACCTTTATGTCTCTCTCTTCTTGAAGAGAAAAATAGAGGACATAAAGGCGTTGGGTTTCATATCAGTAGGGGACACAGGACAACTGGACTGTCCTCTATGATGGTCGCCCTAGTCTCGCTATGGAAATGGCTCCTCCCTGACTTGCTCCTGTGGCCGTAGGGCTGAGGGGGAGTGAAACTCGAGGGCATCTGACAATCCGGGCTTGGACCTGGACGTAGGATGCCTGCCAAAAGATTTGGAAGTATCTGAAGCCCCAGGCAGGGATGGAGGATGCTCGCCGGTAGCAGGGCTATGTATTGATCTTGAATGACGTATGGATTTGGAATTGATTTGGCTTGGGACATGAACAATTTTCCTTAAAAAAAGAAAAAAAAGTCTGGTCCAGGGCTTTCAAGTGTCTCGGCTTCTGTGGGCTAAGGTCAAGTGGGAGCACCCAAATCCCAAGGCTTGCCCTGCGTGTAGGATGCCTTTCAATGGATTTGAGAGTATCCGAAGTCCCAGCCTGGGAGCCTGGGACAGGATGCTTACCACTTGTAGAGCCATAGATGGTTTTTGGAATGAACGAGTTCTGCCCAATTGATATGATTTGGCTGATTTGACCTGGAACTGGAAAAAATAATAACAACTCCCCCCCCCCCCCCCCCCCCCCCCTGTTCCAGGGCTTTATTGGCCTCCCTGTGAGAGGGTTCCGCCTATTATCTAACCTAAACCTTCCTTGCCACAACTTGAGACTGTTGCTCCTTGTTCTGTCATCTGCCACCACTGAGAACAGTCCAGCTCCATCCTCTTTGGAAACACCCGAATTCACCCCTAGTCTTCTCTTCTCCAGACGAAATAAGCACAGTTCCCTCAGCTTCTCATAAGTCATGTCCCCCAGCTCCCTCACCATTTTTGTCATGCTCCACTCAGTAGCAGCCTTAGGGGAGGGCAAATTCGGCAACTGCCCGGGGGCCCAAATTTTTGGGGGGTGAAGTTTTTGCAAGGAAGTGGCTCTATTTCCATTTTAACACTCAACTATTTATCTAATTCCTCTGAAGAATATTAAAAAGATCCACAATACAACTGGTGGGTTAATATTTACCTGAGTACATACCTCTAAGGGTCCCCAAATGACTCTCTTGCCCAGGGCCTCAACAACCTTACGGCCACCACTGCTCCACTGGACTCTCTCCAACTTGTCCGCGCTCTTTCGGTAGTGGGGGACCCAGAACTGGACACAGTACTCCAGATATGGCCTCACCAGTGCAGAACTGAGGGGAAGAATCACTTCCCTCCATTTGGCAACGCTCCTGCCAATGCAGCCCAGTATGCTGTTGGCCATCTTTACAACAAAGGCACACTGCTGGCTCATATTCAGCTTATAGTTCCCTGTAGCACCCCAGGTCCTTTTCTGCAAAGCTGCTGCTTAGCCAGTCAGTTCCCAGTTGGTACAGGTGAATCTTGCAATAAATTTAGACTGGTCACATGTGCAGATGTATAATAACTCTATATCTGGTTTCTATCCAGTTTTAATTTGAACATGTAACAGGGCCCTAAGAATAATACCAGACCCAATTTTTTCTTCCCTCCCCCTCCCCCCCAGTTATTTAGAGGGGAGATGGACACTATTTTTATAGCAGCTAGACATATTCTATCACTTCTGAAGATGTGCATCAATCTAAATTTAACACTATTCTTGTTTACATAATATTTGTATCTCACCTTTGCAGAGTTCCTGCTATGAACTAACCACATTTAAGTTTTTACAAACAGTACTCTTTTTAAAAAAAGAATTTTAAAAACTTTGTGTGCCTAGTTTCTTCTCTTTAGGTTCACATTCAGTGCCAAATATGAAGATGCTGGAAGATGCACATTCATCTGCCAGCACAGAATCAGGCAATTTGTTCAGCTTCTATCAAAAGCTGGTAGAGCAGTGAATATTAATCTATATCTTCAAGGAAAATTGATGTGGAAAAATACCATTATGGTTGAACAATTCTAGGTGCCTAGAGTCTATAATACTATTATATTGCCTAATACTTCCATAATGTAGTGGAAATTACTTGCTTGGCTGTTGTTTGTACGGTGCTATGAGAGTTCCAACTAGCACATGGGTTGGCAACCTATGTCTTGTGGCCTGGATCCAGTCTTTGGTAGCTGCTGGGGGAGAGGGGGAGGGAACAGTGGCACATGATGGGGACCACAGAGCGGAGGTCCTTGTGCCTTATATGTGCTGTTTGTCGCAATACATTCCTGTGCCACATTCCATCTCTTGCGTGTGCAGTGCCTCCTTTTATAAAGGCTGCCAACCCCTGAACTAGCAGACCAAATTCCCTTACAAACTCCTGGGGCGCATCCCCACATGTAGGGGCATGTGCTTGCAGGGGGGAACAAAAGTAGCTGCACAAATTTGTGCCACTACTTTTTGCTGCTGTGCACGCCCCTGCAGGTGGGCTTTGGTGCAGGGCAAGATGCCCTGCTTTGGAAAACTGCCGTGTCCTCGCTCCTGGCATGCTGGAGGAGCTGGGGACAACTAGAGGAGAGGAAACACTCTGGCTGGCAGCCCCTCTTCTAGTTGGGGCCAGGAAGAACCGAGCCTCTGAGCCTGCTGGCACATGCTCCGGCACTGCACCACGCAAGAGGTGCACCACCTTTTTTGGGTGCTTTTATTTTTTATTTTTTTGCTGCCAGGAAATCTTGGAAATGTGCCAAGAATGTGGTTTGTGGTGCTGCAAAGGGGTTTGCAGCACCACAAACCACACATACCTGGACATCTGGATTGAGCCCTGGAAAGCAAATTGACCCACATGAATAATTTAGTTTTTTGACATTGCAAAGTTACAAATATGTGTGAGGCTATATATAGCATGCAGATTTAGCATCCAAATAAAAGGCTTAAAGGCAGTGCATTTGGGTCTCTTACTTTTGAAGATGTTCTGCAAATATCTCCTTTGCATATTGTCCCGAGGGGAAAGTGCTCAGCAAAGCCAGACACTAGCAAGGACACTGGGATATTACATTCTAGCAAGGGTATAAATAAGGCATTTTTTGCTCTTATCTAGGAATGCCTCTGACCTGAAATAACCAATGGAAGCCAGACTTCCCATAGCACCTGTGTGAATGAGATGTAGTGAATCTCATCAGCTGCAGGACATTTCATCATTGTCCTTCACTGCCCTGCAACTGGTACAGTCATTAACCTCAGTTCAGAGTGTTTCTGGCTTTTATATTCATTTTACAATATTCATATTAATTTTACAGTGGTATAAATGCCTATACCAGTTGCAGGGGAGAAAAATGAAATGAGACAAGTAGGGCACAATACTCCACAGCATTGTATCTTGTATAGATTCTTACATATGTGCAAAATGGGTGCACAGTGCTACCAAATAAGAACAGCAAAATTTTTGCTAGGTATAAATGAGTAAACAAGGTATGAGATAGGAACAAAGACATATAAACTAAGGCTTTTAAACGTATTTTAGGCACCTAACCCCTGATAAACAGTACAACTAGAAAGTTTTTTACTTCTATAGAAATCTATCAATAAGAACACAATGGGATATGTCTGCGGCGCTACATACCGCACATTCAGCTGTTCTCCGTGCTGCAAGGGAGCAGCATGGGGGGGAAGGGGTTGACCTCAGGAGCTTCTGAGGTAAATAAAAAACCCCACACACAAAAAGTGGAGCAGCTCATGTGGGGGCATCGCGCACAGCCCAGTACCGGAGCCTGGCTGGCCAGAGCTACATTCCGGCTGCTTGCCAGGTTCTGAGCAGCAGGATTGCCACTGCTGCAGCTCCAGGAGCCCAGGTAAAGCTGCCGGAGCCAGCATAGTTCTGGGAGAACGGTTTGCTGGGGTAGGGGTCAGAAACCTCAAGTCAGGAACCAAACCCAAGCCTGGGCCAAGATCTGGGCATCAGAAGCCTAGTTATTGAATCCAAGGGACAATATGCAGGGTGAGCTCCAAGAACAGAATCACACCAGGGTCAGGAGCCAGGAAACAGATCCCCTAGAAAGTTCAAAGCCAAAGTCCAGGAACAAGCCAAAGCAGGGTCGGGAACTAGGAAAGCCAGAGATGTTGCTCAGAGATTGGACGTCATGCAGCAAGGCTTGAGTGCTGGAGGAGTTCCTGCAAAGAAGCCTCAGAACCACTCAGAGGCAAGGGCTCGGGGTCAGCTGACCTTGATTAGTAAGTGCAGTTGACCCAGTTGCAAGGTTCACAGGTTAGGAGTCTGACCGAGCCTTACACAGCTGACCTGGTTACACAAGCTGCAGGGCAGGAGCCTTACGCTTTTGAGTATCTGGGTAAAGCTATTAAAATAATAGGACTCAACCAAGACCTCTCTCCTACACTAGTATGGTGCCAGCAATGCCATATTGAGACAGTCGTGCATAGAGTAGACACAGCCTATTGTAAATGCTTACATAGCTCTGTCTGATGCTGTACTGCTGAGGGGGCATTGAGGTTGCTCATTGCCAAAATACCTTCTTTTTTTTTCAGACACGCTTTTAAAACCAAGGCAAAAATCACAATTGTTTGTTCCAGCCCCAACCAGGACCTTCAGTAACTAAATTCACAGTGGGTATAGGCATCATAATGTTCAGTATTGCAATGTCTAATTTTTAGGCTTTCTGCTGCCTACCAGAATTCTGAGTTCCCCAGGCAGAAGACATGATAGACAGGTTTTAATTAGTCTATAACAGTGGTGGGCAAAATATGGCCTGCAGGGTGGGAGCGAGGTGCCCATGTATAATATACATCCCCAGCATACCCTATTGCACATCGCTCCCACCCTTGTGGGCAGAAGGGCCTGGCCTGGCCTGGCCAGCAGGCAGCTTCCAGGCAGGGTTGCTGCTGCCACCAAAGACATGCTTAGGTTCATTGGCATCCCACTTGCTCCAGGCAGCAGGTAGAGAAGTGGTGGGGGCAGGGGCAGAGCTGCCGCTGAGTGGGAGCAGGGAACATGGGGCCAGTGGCTGGTGGCAGCACGGAGCCTGCGCCCAGGGGGGTGGCAGCAGCGCAGAGCTCAGGTGGGCAGCGTGTAGGTGTGAGGGAGGATGGGGGAGTGTGCGGGACCCCCCCAGACTCCCTCCATTGTACACAGCCCCAACAGGCAGAGGAGGCAGGCACCGGGCCAGCTCTATCATCTATCACTGGCATTCCCCACCATGCACACGCAGCCCCAGCACTCCAGCAGCATGGGAGGGAAGCCATCCCCTCCCTCTGGGCCTGCTGCTTCTGTGCCATGGGGGGGAGGGTTGGGGGGGTCCCCACACCTCCCCACACTCCATCACACCTCACAAACGCCTCACACCCTGCCTTCACAACCCCTCACGTATGCACAATCCCCCCAACATACTCTATGCCCCCACACACACAGCCACACCCCATCACAAACCCTCCCACACACACTCCCTACCCCACACACCCACACCACACAATATACAAGACAAAGAATTTATTATTGACTTATTATGCAATCACCTCTATATACACCAGGGGTGGGCAAAATATGGCCCATGGGCTGGATCCAGCCTGCCAGGCCCTATCATCCAGCCCACAGTTCCCCCCAAAGAATTGCACCCTACCCAGCCCTTCTCCCCCTCGAGGGTGGAAGCAAGGCACCCATGTGTGTACAATCCCCCCACATACCCTGTTGGGCCTCGCTCCCACCCTCTTGGGGGGAAGGGCTCTGCCCAGCCAAAAGCTTCCAGGTGGGACTCCTGCTGCAGCCAGAACCTGCTCACTCAGGGCTGCAGGTAGGGAAGCAGTGGCCCTGGTGACGGGGGTGGAGTTGGAGCTGAGTGGAAGCAGGAGCCTACGTCCAGATGGGCATCAGGAGCATGGAGCTCAGCTGGGCAGGGTGTCGGGGTGAGAGGTGTAGCAATCAGCAGGTGGGGAGGTCAGGATGCTCGTGCCCAGCCAGTGCTGTGCGGGAAGAGAAACAGGAGCCTTCCCTATTGCCAGGGCTCTGGGCTGCGCGCCTACAGCTCCAGCATTCGCAGAGAGGGAAGCCCCAGGCTGCAATCTGCTGCCTCCTCCGCCTCCTGCGCATGCCACCGGGAGTGGAGGGAGTCCTGGAGTCCAGCGCGGGGCTTCCATGCTGAGCAGGGTTGGGAGACGTGCGCGGCAAAGATCTCAGAAACGCTTGTTATTAAACCTTTCACCAGAGCTTGGTAAGTATTATTTTACTCCTGTAGATAGAAACACTAAGGGTTTCAATTACATCTGTAATACTAGAAAAAGGTTCCCAAAGTCATACAAATTAGTACAAAGTCTCATCTCTACTAAATAACAAGTGTTATCCCTACTTTTAACTAAAATCCCTGAAATATTGCTGTCATATTCAGAGATGATTAGATGTTTCATTCCCAGATATTTCTAGTTCGGTCATTCAGAAATGACTACTATTCATTTTTTAAGTCAGATGCCTTATAACACATCTCGTTGTATTATGCTAGGTTAGAAAGGGACAAGGGGAGGGAGGGATGAGCTATACCTATTTCATTTACCCTTGATCCTGTGCCCATTGATTTCAAGATTGGGCCTTTACAGCATAAACACTTTTTTTTGTGGTGGCTGTATATCCTTTAAAGGCAAATCATGCACATTTGATACACTTATTAGTTGGGTAAAATTACTTTCTGATGGTAATTTGAAAACCAATCTGTTCAGATCTAACTAGCAAATGACTGTAGACCGTTTGTTTTAATTGTCATCTTTGTCCTTATTTATTTCTGAATGGGTGTCAGACCAAACAGAGTTCCTTTGTTTCTCTATCTACTTAGTAAAACTGAAGCAGAGGTCGCTTTATGTTTGAGAAAGCTTTACATTAATATGAGAATCCTCTAACACATTGTCTAGAACAGAATACCAGAAATGAGAAGTAGCCTGGAGGTGCTTATTTTTCAGTTTTGTATTTTGTCCACTTGGTGGCGATCATTCACTGTCTTTTTGCCATAACTGCCTAGATTCCCTTTACCCGCTGCTCGTTGTTTTGTTGCTGCTGTCAGTTAGGGCAAGTAAACAAGGGAAAAATAAAAAATCCACTATTATTTCACATTTTAAAGGTGCCAAAAGAGAACCATTTGCTGAATGGGAAGGGAACTATTTCATTGCTTGGTTGCCAGAGAAACTGTTTTCTTTATTGGGAATTTTTTTTCTAATGTTATGCCAGACCAGGAAACAGAGTGTATATGACAAATAAAACAGCGATTAAGGGCAAGTTTCCTGAACTTTAGGGCCCCAGCATAGACTGAGGTAAATAATAGCAAACAGCATATCAATCCTCCATCCATTCACAGGAGACCAAGGAAGTCCCACAGGCACCAAGATCAATTCAAATAGTTGGAGCTTTCCAGATGAGAAGTTAACCAAATACTCCACAACCAGGAGTATTTCTGTATCAGGCAGTAGCCACAGTTGTGCTGCTTGAAACATTAGTGGTGTACAGGATGGGAGAGGTAGAGGTAGCCAAGGAACTGAAACCAAAACCAAGGCACCATCCTTCTGATGGAGTGGAGAGCCCAAAGTTTACAAGGTTGGTGATCCTTTCCCTTATGGATCTTAGCCCCCAGGGTTTGTAGATAGGTGACCTGATTCTGACTTTACTTTATTTGTAATACCCTTTATAAATTCATTTCTGAGACTGTTTCTTCAAACCTCTAGTGATTGGAGACTGGAAGGTCCTATGGAGACGCTAGAAAGTGAAGCAGAGAGAAGGAAAATAATCCCTTATAACAACAAGTTCCTCATTTTATTACAGTTCATTATTAGAATTAGTAAACTTTTGACTAAAAAGTTGGAAGGAATATTTTAACTTGACTAAAAAAGAAAAGATGGAAGGAATATTTTAATAATTTCCTCAACTATTCAGTTCCAAGAAACTGCTGTAGCTGATGGGGATGACTCATTCATTCTGGATGCAAATTGACATAG